ATTTTTGAAAACTGTGACAACAGAGAAACCGGTCTATAATTTGTGAAGTTGTGCTTATCACCAGATTTATACAGTGGAATCACCTTTGCTATTTTCATATTATTGGGGAACTGCCCAAGTCGAAACGACATGTTAAAAATATGGGTTAATGGTTTGCATATCCCCTCAATTGCCCATTTAACAGTTGTCATAGTGATACCATCACTATCACTAGATGTTTTGTTACCACATTTATTCACTATCTCTATCATTTCCTTTTCAACTATGGGCTTCAAGAACATAGAACTCATGTTCCTTTCAATTGCATTATTATTTATAGTGACGGATTTATCATCTGTACAAATGCTTCTTGCTAAACCAGGACCCACATTCACAAAGAACCTATTAAACTTATCTACTACATCCTCCAATCTATTGACCGGTGTATCATTATCCATAAAATATTGAGGGTAGTTACTCTTGCTGGAACTGTTTCTAATCAATTTATTTAATATATTCCAAGTACCTCTCATGTTATTTTTATTATCCTCTAATACTTTAGAGTAATATAGTTTCTTACATCTCCTCAAAATCTCAATTAATTTGTTCTTATATGACTTATATTTTTCTTCCGCCTTCTTTGATCTGTCCTTTATGAATTCCTTATATAACGCATTCTTCTTTTTACATGCATTCTGTAATCCCTTACTCATCCACGGTTTCCCACTGTAATTCCTTTTGTTTTTATACTGTTTACGAGGACAGTTCCTGTCATATACTTTCTTAAATATATTAAAAAATTGCTCATATGCTTTATCTAAACCTTCCTCTCTGTAAACTGATTCTTAGTTTTGCCCCATAAAATCTTCTTTTAGCCTCCTTACAGCATGTTCGTTCATCACCCTCCTATAGAACAGATTTGTTTTTAGCCTCTCTTTTCTATACTGGCCCTAATAAACCACAAATACTGGTAGATGATCACTAATATCATTTATAAGTAATCCACTTGTCATTTTGCTGTCAATAACATTGGTAAATATATTATCTATTAATGTTGCATGCTGGGTTGTTACTTTGCTTTGTACCCATCATAGCTTCAAATCTGTAATTTTTTTCAGAACGATAAAACCAGAGAGCCTCTTCCTAAAAACAAGAGGATAGTTTGTGAATGAGCACACCTCCTGCTGCTGGTGTTGTCAAAAGTGGACAGCACAACAAACTTCAAGGGCATTAATTAAGTTGAATTTTTCCTCCATCAATAGGTAAACAAAGCGGTTAACTGAGAAACCCCATATTTTAACTGGCATAATGCAGACATAGTCACTTCTCCAGCCTTACACCAATTTTTTCTAATGTTACAGAAACAACGCATTAACAGACATGCAATGTGCGTTCTTTTTAAGCTACCGTTAAGTTGCACCAAGTATTCGAAACATCACTCCCTTTCAAGTGGCTCCAAGGTCGGTAAATTCAACTGGTGGTCATTGCGTCCTCCCCCATGCGACCACATACAGTCCCAAAGTGAAATTAATTACAACAGGTAGCATAGGAAACAGGAAACTGTGACATTATTCAATCCTAAAAACTCTCACAAACTATTAAAACACTCAAGGTTTTATCAGTAATGTTTGCATCAGTAATTAATCAAATGATTTACAAAAGTAGGAACCAATATCACTATGGACTGCTGCACCAAGTTGGCACAAATTCTGCCTGTGTCTCCTTTAAAATATTAATAACAACAGCAACCTTTATTTGGCCAAGTATGTTACACACAAGGACAGTACAGAACCGAGGCAGCCATCTGCGGCACCAACTCAACCAATGGCTCTAACCATTGGGGGAAATTTGGGGGGTTGTGTCTTGCCCAAGGACACTTTGACATGTGGACTGCAGGCATTGAGATTTGAACTGCCTACCCTCCAGTTGGGACATGACCACTCTACCCACTGAACCACAGGCACCCCAGCACAAAATGACTCTGTTCAATACGTTAACAATGGATTAAAATGCAAAAGGTTTTGCTTGGAGTGACAATTAGCTCTATGGCATTTTTTTTTGCCTATTTCAGCTCATTGTTTTTGAGCTCACATGTATTCACTCCCAGCCTTTTCAGCTTATTGTTTTTAATATTTTTGAGCTCACATGTATTCACTCCCAGCCTAACACACAGAGTTAATGACAAGCTGGTGAGCAGAGGGAAGTGTTTAGCTGGTAAAGATTCAGAACATTCTCGTGAATTTATGACACTAAAAAAAACAATTCTTAGCTCTTCTAATTCTTTTTCTCCACTTGTTACACAGGAATCAATAAGACGTACCAATGGGGCAGTTGAAATCCAAATGTGACGGGTTGGTCCCAGGCTTTGCCCCTCGTGTTCGCACCTCAACCCTCGAAGAGGGACCTCCAAGGTACTCATCACACCATTTAGATGTCAGCATCCAGCAGGATGATTGTAACCTTCAAGTTCCTTCGATTATTGTCTCAGACATGGATTTAAGGTTTGTGTTATAACCTTGCATCAATTTTCACTTTTTACATCAGAGTTTATTTTTCCAAAGTAAAAACTGTGTCCTTAATCTAAAAAATATATAATTCTGTTTGGGCTACCTGTCTGACAGTGCACCAGAGCACCATGGTTCGAGGATGGAGCTGCAGAAATCTTCCTTGTATAGCACATTAGACCAGGTGCCACAGCTGGAGCATTATGCTAGTACCCTGCCACGGCAGCAGCAGGCAAGGAGCCGACCTTCACTGGGAACTCTCCGCAGGGTATCTAAGGTAAATTCTTCCTCTGTAGAATCACGTTTGAAGGAACGTCATTTACCTTAACATACCCTTGTCTATTGAACTGTGAATAAATAAAGTGTAGTAATACATTATTAATATAGTCTGGACCTTATATTTTAGGTGCTTTGTAGACAGTATACACCGTATCATTTGCAAGCAAGCATTAAGTTCAGAATACTATAAAAATGTAGTTTCTTAAAATAGTACTGAATATTCTCAGTCACGTCATTAGTTGCATTCATTTTATGTTTAATAAAACTACTTATATCACTTGTTGATCCATACATTTGCTATTTAATATTTCCTTATTTAATGTCATTACATTAATTGTATAGTGCAGTTTAGAGCACAATAAAATCTGTTTCCATTTCTGTTTAAATTCTGTTATTCTCAGGAAGTGGAGGCAGGGATGGAGATGGCAAACGTTGCCTCAGACTCGGGAGTTAGCAGTTTGCCAGTGACTGATAGTGGGAGTGAAGAGTCAAAAGGTCCAAAAGAGAAAGCTCCTGTAAAATTAGGTTGGGTGATTGGTCCCGCGGTAAGAGGAGTTTGTTTATTTTTACATGCAGACTGTAGAACATGGTCAAAAGTCATATACACTGTGTATTTCAGTTGTTTTATTGCACAGTAAATGAAACAGTCTTACAACTATCCCAGTAAACACTCACAGAGCTGTTTTTTTTATTAACTTTCTTCAAGTTTCATTGCATGCTGAATATCTGGGGAGTCATCCTGTTTCTCCGCTTGTCGTGGATCACTTCTCAGGCAGGCATCTGTGAGTTAACAGTCATTCCTCCATTCAGTCCCTTTGTCCTCTTTTTTTTGTTGTTGTAAAACACCCTTGCTCTACTCTTGCCTTTTCATCTATGACCTTTTATTGATTTGCTCAAATAACTTGTATAAATAATATTACATTCTAATCTCAGTGTTGACCTGCCTTATTGTCCTGATGTCTGTGACGGTGAACACAGCAACCACCCTATCTATCTCTGCCATCGCCACCAATGGAAGAGTAGATGCAGGTCAGTTCCTTCTTGTGTCTGCAGAAATCAAAATTCAAGCTACAGTGAAATTGCACATGGTGTCATTTTAATTGTTTATTGTGTTCATTTCATGTAAATAATATTCATGTATTAGAAACATGCATAGCAAAGGCACTAGAAAGAGGACTTTGATCAACTGTCGGACCTCAGATCCAGGAGGATCAGTGAAGATTCCACTGTGATCCTGGAGCAGTGTACCAGCTCTTTCTCTTGTAAAATTAATGGAAAAGTCACTGAGACTGGTTCATCCATTGTACATTTGTATGAATGTTGAAAAGGCTTACAAACATGTTCCCTGGAAAATTTGTGGAAGAATTTATGTATCTTGAGGTGTTGTAAGTAAGCTTCAGTTTAGCCACTCATCTACATTCCAACTGTCACCTGAGATCATGAGCTTTGGGCGGTGACTGATAGAATGAGAGTGTGGGTTCAAGAGGCCAGATTAACTGGGCTGACCCTCAGAGATAGTGCAACAAGCTCAGACCTCCTGATGGACATTTGGAGTAGACGTGCATCAGAAACCAGCTGAAGTGGTTTGTACATCTGATTGGGAAAGTTCTTTTTCTGGAAGGTTTTACAGGCATGTGCAACTGAGGTAAACCCAGAACATGTTGGAGAAAATTGTACATCTCATGTGGTTTTGGAATGCCTTGGGGTCCCCCAGGAGGAGCTGTAATATGTGGCTAGGGAGGGGGTTATTTGGACTGCCTTGTTTAGTATGCTCCTATCATGACTTGGCCTCGGATTAGCAGGGGAAAATGGATAGATGGATATCTGATCACTCTTGACATCGGTGAAAAAGACTGATTGGACCTTTAAGAATGGAAATTTGCATTTGGGCTAAGATTCAAGAAAAGGACATAAATATATGAATGAGTTATTATTGAAATCTAGACCAGTACATTTTCTTTAGCATCTATTCTATGATAACAGTCTTGTTTGTGTGACTTCTGTGGTATGAAATCATGTTCAGGTGGGACATATTTCATGATCTCCCGCTCTCTGGGTCCTGAGGTTGGCGCACCAATTGGGCTGGTCTTTGCCTTTGCCAACGTTCTGGGTTGTGCGCTTAACACGGTGGGCTTTGCAGAGGTGGTTCAGGATCTAATGCAGGTACTTACTTTTCTTCATCACACTGTTCTTAACACAATCAAAATAAAGGTTTTACATAACTCATAAAACTATAGATACTCACTGAACTCAAGAATCCTTGATAGCACATATTTATTTGTCTTGTTGAAATAATAATGGACGTCCCTGGAAAAGATGTTGTTTTGAAGACAGTATATGTTGCTCTGAAATCTCTGTATTGTTTAGCATTAATGGTGCCATCACAGAAGTGTAAGTTACCTTTGCCAAGGGCAGTGACACAACCCCAGGCCATGATAGGCTCTGGCTTTTGGACTTGTTGTTGGTAAAATTCTGTATGGTCCTCTTTGTCTTTGGATCGGAGCACACGGCATCATTCTTTCCAAAAAAAACCATGAAATACTGATTCACCTGACCACAGTACAAGTACCACTGTGTGATGGTCCATACCAGATGCCTCTGAGTTCAGAGCAGTTGACTGCGCTTCTGGACACTCTTGACATAGGGCTTCCTTTTGGCACAGTATATTTTTAAGTGGGATTTATGAATGTAACTACATATTGTAGTGCTTGACACAGATGTGCCTAAGTAATCCTGAGCCCATGTGGTTATATCGCTTATAGAAGAGTGACGATTCTTGATGCAGTGGCGTCTGAGGGGATCAGAGAGCACGGCCATCCAGTTTAGGCTTGCGTCCTTTATGTGCTAAAATCCCCCCAGATTCCCTGAATCTTTTATGTTATGTGCCATAAAGGGTGACATATCCAAATCCCTTCCTATCTTTCTGTGAGGAACATTGTTTTTAAACAGTTCAGTAATTTTCTTATGCATATGTTGGCAAACTGGCAATCCTCGGCCCATCTTTGCTCCTAAAGGTCTTGACCTTTCCTGGATGCCACTGTTCTACCAAATCATGATTCCAATCACCGGTTGACAGCACCAGTTTAAAATGGAATCATCATTTCATTGTTTTACCTAATTACTGACCCTGAAATGTAACAGTCCCAACTTTTGTCGGAATGTGTTGCAGCATCATAATTGAAATGAGTGTTTATGTTGAACAAAGAATAAAATTGATGAGGTATCAGATCAAATAATGTGCTGCTGTATTGTTTTCAATGTAATACATTATTTACAGAATTTTACAAATTGTCCCATCTTTTTCTGATTTGGCATTGTAATTATTTTTCTGTGAACTATCTGATCAATGTAGAGCTATGGTTCCGTCATTATCGATCCCATTAGCACAATCCGTATTGTGGGCGTGATCACAGTGACTGGTCTTCTTCTCATTTCACTGGCTGGCATGGAGTGGGAGTCCAAGGTGAGCGCATTTTGAACACATCTCATTTTACTTACCTACAAATCTCCTTAGGTTTCACTAGCTGTTACTCTTTATCATACATTTCTTCTCATTTCTTTCTTCTCTCCATTTGTGCCTCTTTCTCAGGCCCAGATCTTGTTCTTTGTGGCCATCATGATCTCATTTGTTGCCTATTTGGTGGGCACCTTCATCCCTCCGGGGACAGTGAAAAAATCCCAGGGCATCTTTGGATACCGCAGTGAGTTTAGACTGTGCATTTATACAACATCTGTGTCAATAACAGCATTTGACAAGAAAATGCAAAACTAGATTCAGTTAGTCTAGAATCTACAGGTTGTATCCAGACATTATCAGATAACAGTAGACTTTTTGTTGCCCATCATCAGGTGACATCTTTGTATCGAACCTGACACCAGACTGGAGAGGCGCTGATGGCAACTTTTTCTCAATGTTTGCAATTTTCTTCCCTGCCACCACCGGCATCCTCTCTGGAGTCAACATCTGTGGAGACCTCAAAGTATGACAAGAAATATACCGTAGATACCTCTTTAACTGTAACCACTAAGCAGAACAACATGAATGGTGATTTGCTTATTATTTCTTTTTTCCAGGACCCTGCTACTTCTATCCCCAAAGGCACCCTCCACGCCATTTTCTGGACTACAATCAGCTATTTAGTTATTCCGTTAACTGTTGGTAATTTACTGACTTAATGCTTTTATTTAGTTTAGCCTTTGTTTACATTTGATTAGTTTCTTTGAACTTGTAGAGATTATTTAAGGTATGGTTTTAAGGTATGGTACATAGTTTGGGACAAGAGACAGAAGACATGGCAAATGAGGATTTACCTGTACACAATTCACTGCAACACTTCCACCTTAATATCTGTGTTTATGAAGCTCAAAATGTTTTTGGTGAAATCATCATAAATGTATACATTCAATTATATGTTTATTATTGAAGTCAAAGCTAAAGGTGGTGTTGTACTGGACTACATTATATTTAGAGGTGTCTTTATAGTTTTGACCTCTCCAGGTACAGTACATACATGGGAGGGTCAGGATATTAGGAATCAGTCAGTCAGTCAAGTGTCTCTCATATGCACAGTGAGGAAATGTGTTTCCCTGTACAATGAAATTCTTACTTTGCTGTACGCACGAATGCCACACAATATAAGTGAAATATAAAGTAAATACATAGGCAACACAGAATCTAAATCACAAAATCTAAGGCACTTTAAAGCAGCTAATGAAAGAAGCATAATGAAAAATATCATTGCATTTTCCTCCAGGGGCATGTGTGATACGGGATGCTTCTGGAAATGTCAATGACACTCTGACTGCAAACAGCACTGGGACCTGTGTGGGGATGGGATGTAGCCAAGGCTGGAATTTCACAGAGTGCACCCTGTCACAGTCATGTCAGTATGGTCTGGCCAACAATTTACAGGTACTGTTCAGTCAAGTAGCAAAAGGCCTTATACCTCTTAATATAATGTCATTTTAAATATAAAGTACATATTAAATATTGCCTCTTAATATAAATATGATTGTAATAAATATCCATCCATCCATTCATCCATTTTCCTCCGCTTATCCGGGACCGGGTCACGGGGGCAGCAGTCTAAGCAAAGATGCCCAGACTTCCCTCTCTCCAGATACTTCCTCCAGCTCCTCCGGCGTTCCCAGGCCAGCCGAGAGACATTGTCCCTCCAGCGTGTCCTGGGTCTTCCCCGGGGCCTCCTCCCGGTGGCACATGCCCGGAACACCTCCCTAGAAAGGCGCCCCGGAGGCATCCGAAGTAGATGCCCGAACCACCTCAGCTGGCTCCTCTTGCTGT